ATAGACTCCATCCCACAGATCCTGCCCCATAACCCCCACCCCATAGACCCCACTCCATAGCTCCCGCCCCATAGACCCCACCTCATAGATCCTGCCCCATAGACTCCATCCTGCAGATCCTGCCCCATAACTCCCACCCCATAGATCCCTGCCCCACAGACCCCGCCCCATAGCTCCAACCCCATAGACCCCACCCCATAGCTCCTGCCCCATAGCTCCCGCCCCATAGACCCCGCCCCATAGCTCCCGCCCCATAGCTCCCGCCCCATAGACCCCTGCCCCACAGACCCTGCCCCATAGACCCCACCCCATAGCTCCCGCCCCATAGCTCCCGCCCCATAGGGCCTGACCCCATAGCCCCCACCCCATAGCTCCTGCCCCATAGCTCCCGCCCCATAGCTCCTGCCTCATAGACCCCGCCCCATAGCTCCCGCCCCATAGCTCCTGCCCCATAGCTCCTGCCCCATAGACTCCATCCCACAGACCCTGCCCCATAGCTCCCGCCCCATAGACCCCGCCCCATAGCTCCTGCCCCATAGCTCCAGCCCCATAGACCCCGCCCCATAGCTCCTGCCCCATAGCTCCTGCCCCATAGCTCCTGCCCCATAGCTCCCTGCCCCCCAGGATCCTGGGGCTCTGTAACAACCTCCCCTATGTGCTGATGCTGAGCGCGGCGCGGGACATCGTGGAGCTCCAGCAGGGGGCGCCGGTGAGGCCACGCCCCCTGCCCCACATCCTGCCCCATAGCGCCCCATAAGCTGCCCTATAACACCCCATAACCTGCCCCATAGCGCCCCATAAGCTACCCTATAACACCCCATAACCTGCCCCATAGCGCCTCATAACCTGCCCCATAGCACCCCATAAGCTGCCCTATAACACCCCATAACCTGCCCCATAGCGCCCCATAAGCTGCCCCATAGCACCCCATAACCTGCCCTATAACACCCCATAACCTGCCCCATAGCGCCTCATAACCTGCCCCATAGCACCCCATAAGCTGCCCTATAAGACCCCATAACCTGCCCCATAGCACCCCATAAGGTGCCCTATAAGACCCCATAACCTGCCCCATAGCACCCCACATCCTGCCCCATAGCACCCCATAAGCTGCCCTATAACACCACATAACCTGCCCCGTAGCGCCCCATAAGCTGCCCCATAGCACCCCATAACCTGCCCTATAATGCCCCATAACCTGCCCCATAGTGCCCCATAACCTGCCCCATAGTGCCCCATAACCTGCCCCATAGCGCCCCATAACCTGCCCCATAGCGCCCCATAACCTGCCCTATAACACCCCATAACCTGCCCCATAGCGCCCCATAAGCTGCCCTATAACACCCCATAACCTGCCCCATAGGGTTTCACATCCTGCCCCATAGTGCCCCATAAGCTGCCCTATAACACCCCATAACCTGCCCCATAGCGCCCCATAACCTGCCCCATAGCGCCCCACATCCTGCCCCATAGCGTCCCATAACCTTTATTATAGCACCCCACATCCTGCCCTATAGCGTCCCATAACCTTTATTATAGCACCCCACATCCTGCCCCATAGCGCCCTATAGCACACCGTGATGTGCCCCGTAGCGCCCCATGACCTGCCCCATAGCGACTGATGACCTGCCCCATAGCACACCATAATCTCCCCCGTATTGCCCCATAACCTGCCCCATATTGCCCCATAGCCTGCCCCATAGCACCCCATAACCTGCCCTATAGAGCCCAATAACCTTCCCCATAGCACCTCATAGCCTACCCCATAGCACCCCATAACCCGCCCCATATCACCCCATAGCGTGCCCCTTATTGCCCTATAACTTGCCCCATAGCGCCCCATAACCTGCCCCACAGTGCCCCATAACCTTCCTTACAGCACCCCATAACCTGCCCCATATCAGCCCATAGCCTGCCCCTTATTGCCCTATAACTTGCCCCATAGCGCCCCCTAACCTGCCCCACATCTCCCCATAGGTGCCCCATAGCAACAGCTCTCGCTATGACTGCAACCAGCTCTCGACTGGGGTAAGGGGCTGGGCCAATGGGGGGGGTTCTATGGGGCTGCCCCATAAGTGGGTGGGTTTGGGGGGGGGGGGGGATGTGGGGCTGAGGGCGCTCTATGGGGCTGGGCCCATATCTATGGGTCCCCTTCACCTGTGTGTGTGTGCCCCACATCTATGGGTCAGCCCCACATGTGTGGGTCACACCCCACACTTACGGGTTCCCCCTATCCCATATCCATGCCCCATATTTATGGGTCACCCCCCCCACACACATCTATGGGGCTGGCCCCATATCTATGGGTCCCCCTAAACCATGTCACTGCCCCACATCTATGGGTCTCTCTAACCTGTGCCTCTGCCCCACATCTATGGGGCTGGGCCCATGTCTATAGGTCTTCCTAAGCAATCTCCCTGCCCCACATCTATGGGTCCCCTTCATCTGTGCGTGTGCCCCACGTCTATGGGTCAGCCCCACATCTATGGGTCCCCATTGTTCTCTATGGGTCCCATTGACCTCTATGGGGCCCCATTGATCCCTATGGGTCCTATCGATCTCTATGGGTCCCCATTGATCTCTATGGGTCCCACTGATCTCTATGGGTCCCCATTGACCTCTATGGGTCCCATTGATCTCTATGGGTCCCCATTGATCTCTATGGGTCCCCATTGATCCCTATGGGTCCCCATTGATCTCTATGGCGCCCCATTGATCTCTATGGCGCCCCATTGATCTCTATGGGTCCCCATTGATCCCTATGGGTCCCCATTGATCTCTATGGGTCCCATTGTTCTCTATGGGTCCCATTGTTCTCTATGGGTCCCCATTGACCTCTATGGGTCCCATTGATCTCTATGGGTCCCCATTGATCTCTATGGGTCCCTGCCCCACACATGTGGGGCCCAGGCCGTGCTCCTCGCCGACGTCCTCCCCTCGCTGCTCATGAAGCTCCTGGCGCCGCTCGCACCCCATTGGCTGAGCTGCGAGTAGGGGCGGGGCCTAAAGGGGGGCGGGGCTTGAGTGGGACTTGGGGGCTCTGGGTCTATGGGGCGGGTTGTGGGGCTATGGGGCTGGCTATGGGGTGGGTTATGGGGCTATGGGGCTGGCTATGGGGTGGGTTATGGGGCTATGGGGCTGGCTATGGGGCAGGTTATGGGGCTATGGGGCAGGTTATGGGGTGGGTTATGGGTTCTGCTATGGGGCAGGTTATGGGGCTATGGGGCTGGCTATAGGGTGGGTTATGGGTTCTGCTATGGGGCAGGTTATGGGGCTATGGAGCAAGCTATGGGGCAGGTTATGGGGCTATGGGGCAAGCTATGGGGTGGGTTATGGGGTATGGGTGCTGCTATGGGGCAAGCTATGGGGTGGGTTATGGGCTATGGGCTCTGCTATGGGGCAGGTTATGGGGCTATGGGGTTGGTTATGGGTATCGTTATGGGTCTCTATGGGGCCGGTTATGGGTCTCTATGGGACTGGTTATGGGCCTATGGGTCTGCTTATGGGGCTGGTTATGGCTCTCTATGGGGCTGGTTATGGGTCTCTATGGGTCTCGTTATGGGTCTCTATGGGGCTGGTTATGGGTCTCTATGGGTCTCTCTCTATGGGGCTGGTTATGGGTCTCTATGGGTCTCTATGGGGCTGGTTATGGGTCTCTATGGGTCTCTATGGGGCTGGTTATGGGTCTCTATGGGTCTCTATGGGGCTGGTTATGGGTCTCTATGGGGCTCGTTATGGGTCTCTATGGGTCTCGTTATGGGTCTCTATGGGGCTGGTTATGGGTCTCTATGGGGCTCGTTATGGGTCTCTATGGGTCTCGTTATGGGTCTCTATGGGTCTCTATGGGTCTCTATGGGCCTCATTGGGAGGGGCTTCACTTGGGGGGCGGAGTGTATGGACGGGGGCGTGTCTTGCGCCCCATGACGTCACGTGATGGGCGGAGCCTGTGGGTGTGCCGGGGGGGAGGGGGGGGGCGTGGCTTTGCCCTGACCCCGCCCCCTCCCCCCACGTGACCCCTCCCCCCCCCCCCATTGCAGGGCCCGGGTGGGCGGGGCCGCGCTCCTGGCGTGGGCGGGGTCAGCGCTGGTGCTGACAGCAAAGGGAGCAAAGCAGGGATTGGCTGGTGAGGAGGGGGGGTGGGGTCACGTGGGGGGGGTGGGTTGGGTGTCATGTGGGGGGGGGGTGTGTCACGTGGGGGGGTGTCACGTGTTTGCGGGGGTCACGTTGGGGGGGTGGGGGGTGGGGTCATGTGGAGGGCGGGTTGTGTCACGTGGGGGGCGGGGTCACGTGGGGGGTATGTGTCATGTGAGGGGGGGTCACATGGGGGTGGGTGTTATGTGGGGGGGGTGTGGGTCACGTGGTGGTGGGGGTCACGTGGGGCGATTCACGTGGGGGTGTGGGTCATGTGGGAGGTCACGTGATGGTGGGGGTCACGGGGGCAGGGGTCACTTGTGGGACATGGGGCATGTGTGGGGCAGGGGTCACATACAGGGGCAGGGGTCACTTGCAGTCACATGGGGGGTGGGGTCACATGGTGTCAAGAGTGGGTCAGAGGTCATGTGGGGGCCAGGGGTCACTTTGGGTCACTTGGGGGGCTGGGGTCACATGGGGGTAGGGGTCACTTGTGGGGCAGGGGTCATGTGTGGTGTCACATGGGGTCATGTGTGGGGCGGGGGTCACATGGGGGTTGGGGTCACATGGGGGTCAGGGGTCACTTCGGGTCACATATGGGGCAGGGGTCACTTGAGGTCACATGGGGGCAGGGGTCACAGGGGCTTGGGGTCACGTGTGGGGCAGGGGTCACTTGGGGTCACATGGGGGTCATGAGGGGTCATCAACAGTGGGGGAGGGAGGGATCACAAGGGGGCAGGGGTCACGTGGGGGGCAGGGGTCACTCGAGGTCACATGGGGGCAGGGGTCACATAGGGGCAGGGGTCACACGGCTTGGGGTCACGTGGAGGGCAGGGGTCACTTGAGGTCACATGGGGCAGGGGTCACACAGGGGCTTGGGGTCACGTGGGGGTCAGGGGTCACTCGAGGTCACATGGGGCATGGGTCACATGGGGTCACATGGAGGTCAGGGGTCACTTTGGGTCACGTATGGGGCAGGGGTCACTTGGGGTCACATGGGGGGCAGGGGTCACACGGGCTTGGGGTCACGTGGAGGTCAGGGGTCACATGGGGGACAGGGGTCACATGGGGTCACGTGGGGGTCAGGGGTCACTTGAGGTCATAGGGGGCAGGGGTCAAACAGCTTGGGGTCACGTGGAGGTCAGGGGTCACTTTGGGTCACGTATGGGGCAGGGGTCACTTGGGGTCACATGGGGGGCAGGGGTCACAGGGGGGTAGGGGTCACGTGGGGGGGGAGGGGCTGGGGTCACGTGGGGGGGCGGGGCTGAGGTCACGTGACACACACACACACACCCCCCCTTTGCAGCCGTCTCATTGGCCAGCGCCGCCTCGGGGCTGGGGGAGGTGACGCTGGTGACCTTGGCTTCCGCCTACCCCACGTGAGGAGGGGCGGGGTCACGTGACCCCGGGGGGGGGAGGCGGGGCTAAGGGAGGGGGCGGAGCTTAAAGGGGCTTGGGGTAGAATGGGAGCCTATGGGGCAGGGGAGGGGCTGGGGGGGGGTTGGTTATGGGGGCTCTGTGGGGTGGCTATGGGTCTCTATGGGTCCCTATGGGGTCTCTATGGGTCTCTATGGGGTCTCTATGGGTCTCTATGGGTCTCTATGGGGTCTCTATGGGTCTCTATGGGTCTCTATGGGGTCTCTATGGGTCCCTATGGGTCTCTATGGGGTCTCTATGGGTCCCTGTGTTTCTCTATGGGTCCCTATGGGTTTCCATGGGGTCTCTATGGGGTCCCTATGGGTCCCTATGGGTCCGTATGGATTTTCTGTGGGTCCCTATGGGTCTCTATGGGTCCCTATGGGTCCCTATGGGTCCCTATGGGTCTCTATGGGTTCTCTGTGGGTCCCTATGGGTCCCTATGGGGTCTCTATGGGGTCTCTATGTCTCTCTATGGGTCTCTATGGGTCTCTATGTGTCTCTATGGGTCTCTATGGGTCTCTATGTCTCTCTATGGGTCTCTATGGGGTCTCTATGTGTCTCTATGGGTCTCTATGGGGTCTCTATGGGTCTCTATGTGTCTCTATGGGTCTCTATGGGGTCTCTATGTGTCTCTATGGGTCTCTATGGGTCCCCATCTCTGACCCTTCCCCCCCCAGGGCCGCTCTATGGGGCTGGGCCTCGGGCACGGGCGCCGCGGGGCTCTGGGGGTCGCTGTGGGGCGGGGCGGGGCTGGGGGCGGGGCTTGGCCTCTCCCGGGCCCTGCTGCCCGCGGCCGCGCTGCCAATGGGGACGGCGCTGAGGTGAGGGGGCGGGGCCAAGGGGGAGGGGCTTGGGGGGAGGAGGGGGGCGGGGCCAATGGGGAGAGGGGGCGGGGCTTGGGGGTGGGGCCAAGGAGGAGGGGGTGGGGGCAATGGGGGAGAGGGGGTGGGGCTTGGGAAGGGGAGAGGGGGCGGGGCTAAGGAGGAGGGGGCGGGGTCAATGGGGGGTGAGAGGGGGGCGGAGCTTTGGGGGTGGGAATGGACAATGGGGGGGGCGCGGCCAAGGGGGGGAGGTGGGCGGGGTCAATGGGGGAGAGGGGGTGGGGCTTAGGAGGAGGGGGCGGGGCCAATGGGGGGAGAGGGGGCGGGGCTTGGGGGTGGTGCTTAGGAGGAGGGGGCGGGGCCAAGGAGGAGGGGGCGGGGGCAATGGGGGGAGAGGGGGGCGGGGCTTTGGGGGTGGGAATGGTCAAGGGGGGTGGGGCTTGGGGGGGCAATGGGGAGGTGGGGCCAAAGGGGGGAGGAGGCGGGGCCAATGGGGAGAGGGGGTGGGGCCAATGAGGAGGGGGCGGGGCTTTGGGGGTGGGAATGGTCAAAAGGGGGCGGGATGGGGGGGGCAATGGGGAGGGGGGCGGAGCCAATGGGGTGAGAGGGGGCGGGGCTTAAGAGGAGGGGGCGGGGTCAATGGGGGAGGGGGGGGCTTTGGGGGTGGGAATGGTCAAGAGGGGGCGGGGCTTGGGGGGGGCAGGGGGGTAATGGGGAGGGGGGGCGGGGCTTGGGGGGTGGCCAATAGGGGGCGGGGCCAAGGGGTTAAGAGGGGGCGGGGCTTAGGAGGAGGGGGCGGGGCCAAGGGGGGGAGTGGGGGGCGGGGCTTTGCGGTGGGAATGGCCAAACGGGGGTGGGGTCAATGAGGAGGGGGGGCAGGGCCAATGGGGGGAGGGGGGTGGGGGCAATGGGGGGAGAGGGGGCGGGGCTTGGGGGGGTGTCCAATAGGGGGTGGGGCCATGGGGGGGAGAGGGGGTGGGGCTTTTGGGGGTGGGAATGGCCAAGAGGGGGCGGGGCCAATGGGGAGAGAGGGGGGGCGGGGCTTGGGGGGGGATGGCCAAGAGGGGGCGGAGCTTAGGAGGAGGTGGGCGGGGCCAATGGGGTGAATGGGGCGGGGCTTGGAGGGAGTGGGTGGGGCTTGGGGGGCAGGGGTGTTTCTATGGGGCAGGGCTATGGGGCTCTATGGGGTCTCTATGGGGTCTCTATGGGTCTCTATGGGTCTCTATGGGGTCTCTATGGGTCTCTATGGGCCTCTAAGGGTCCCTATGGGTCCTTATGGGGCTCTATGGGGCTCTATGGGTCCCTATGGGGCAGAGCCCCATAGCCCCTCCCCCCCCATCTCCCCCCAGCTTCTTCTTCCTCCTCCTGCCCCCCCCCCCCCCGCCCCACGGAGCCGCCCCCCCCCCCGGCGGGGGTCACGTGGGGGGAGCGCTGGGGCGTGGTCAAGGTGAGGGGGCGGGGCTTAAACGGGGGGGCGGGGCTTCAAAGGGAAGGCCCCGGCCTCTGATTGGCTCCCGGCTCCTCAGGGCGCGCTGCCGGACGCGTTCCCATTGGCTGTCGTTTACTTGGCGGAGTACTTCATTAACCAGGGGGTGGTGAGTGGGGGGGGGCTATGGGGCGGCTATGGGGCGGCTATGGGGTAGCTATGGGGTAGCTATGGGGCGGCTATGGGGCGGGCTATGGGGTGCTATGGGGCGGGCTATGGGGCGGCTATGGGGCAGCTATGGGGTAGCTATGGGGTAGCTATGGGGCAGCTATGGGGTAGCTATGGGGTAGCTATGGGGCAGGTATGGGGTAGCTATGGGGTAGCTATGGGGCAGCTATGGGGCAGCTATGGAGTAGCTATGGGGCAGGTATGGGGTAGCTATGGGGTAGCTATGGGGCAGCTATGGGGCAGCTATGGGGCAGCTATGGGGCAGCTATGGGGCGTATGGGGGTCTGTGAGCTATGGGGCAGCTATGGGGCAGCTGTGGGGCGGCTATGGGTCAGCTGTGGGTCAGCTATGGGGTAGCTATGGGGCAGTTATGGGGTAGCTATGGGGCAGCTATGGGGCAGCTATGGGGTAGCTGTGGGGCAGCTATGGGGTAGCTATGGGGCAGCTATGGGGTGGCTATGGGGCACCTATGGGGTAGCTATGGGGTAGCTATGGGGTAGCTATGGGGTGGCTATGGGGCGGCTATGGGGCAGCTATGGGGTAGCTATGGGGCAGCTATGGGGTAGCTATAGGGCAGCTATGGGGTAGCTATGGGGTGGCTATGGGGCGGCTATGGGGCAGCTATGGGGTAGCTATGGGGCGGCTATGGGGCAGCTATGGGGTAGCTATGGGGCGGCTATGGGGCAGCTATGGGGTGGCTATGGGGCAGCTATGGGGTAGCTATGGGGCAGCTATGGGGTAGCTATGGGGCAGCTATGGGGCGGCTATGGGGCGGCTATGGGGCAGCTATGGGGCAGCTATGGGGCAGATATGGGGCGGCTATGGGGAGTATGGGGGTCTATGAGGTGCTATGGGGCAGCTATGGGGCAGCTATGGGGCAGTTATGGGGTAGCTATGGGGTAGCTATGGGGTAGCTATGGGGTAGCTATGGGGCAGTTATGGGGCAGCTATGGGGCAGCTATGGGGCAGTTATGGGGTAGCTATGGGGTAGCTATGGGGCAGCTATGGGGCTGTGTGTGGCAATGGGTCAGCTATGGGGCAGGGGGGCTATGGGGCAGGGGGGCTATGGGGTACCTATGGGGCAGGAATGTTATGGGGCAGCTATGGGGCAGGGGGCAGTAAGGGGAAGGGGGGCTATGGGGTACCTATGGGGCTGAAGGGCTATGGGGCAGCTATGGGGCAGGAGGGGCTATGGGGTAGCTATGGGGCTGGGGTTGCTATGGGGCCCCTATAGGGCATCTGTGGGGCTGGGCAGCTATGGGGCAGGGGCCGGTTCTATGGGGCTGGTGCCATAGGGCTGGCATCAGCGCTATAGGGTGGGATCTGTGGGGCTCTAGAGGGCTCTGTTGGGTTTCTATGGGTCTCTATGGGGTCTCTATGGGTCTCTATGGGGTCTCTATGGGTCTCTATGGGGTCTCTATGGGTCTCTATGGGGTCTCTGTGGGTCTCTATGGGTCTCTATGGGTCTCTATGGGGTCTCTATGGGTCTCTATGGGTCTCTATGGGGTCTCTGTGGGTCTCTATGGGGTCTCTATGGGTCTCTATGGGTCTCTATGGGGTCTCTATGGGTCTCTATGGGTCTCTATGGGGTCTCTATGGGTCTCTATGGGGTCTCTATGGGTCTCTATGGGGTCTCTATGGGGTCTCTATGGGGTCTCTATGGGTCTCTATGGGGTCTCTATGGGTCTCTATGGGGTCTCTATGGGGTCTCTATAGGTCCCTGTGGGTCGCGCTATGGGTCCAGCCCCACACATTGCTCTCCCCTCAGCTGGACCTCTTGTACTTCCCCACATCCTCCCTGACCCACAACGAGCAGTACCGGTGGTGAGCCCCATAGCGTGTGTGTGATCTGTGGGTCTCTATGGGTCTCTATGGGGGCTCTATGGGTCTCTATGGGGGCTCTATGGGGTTTCTATGGGGTCTCTATGGGTCTCTATGGGGTCTCTATGGGTCTCTATGGGTCCCTATGGGGTCTCTATGGGTCCCTATGGGGTCTCTATGGGGTCTCTGGGGGGTCTCTGGGTCTCTATGGGTCTCTGTGTCTCTCTATGGGGCTGCCCCACACCAGGGCCCAGCTCCTTTACCAGGTCGGGGTCTTCGCCTCCCGCTCCGGCTTCCGCTTCCTCCGCCTGCGCCAGATCTGGGGCCTGATGGGGCTGCAGGTGCGGACCCACACTTGGGGGGCAGCCCCATAAGTGCCCCCCCCACACCCCATAGAGCACCCCACAACCGCTGCCCCATAACCCACTCCTGACCCACACTTGGGGGGCAGAACCGTAAGTGCCCCCCTCCCAGCCCCATAGATCACTCCTGACCCCTAAGTGACACTCCTAGACCCACATATGTGGGGCAGACCCATAGATCTTCACATAAGCACCCCATAACCCACTCCTGAACCACACTTGGGGGGCAGCCCCATAAGTGGCCCCCCCCCACCCCATAGAGCACCCCATAACCACTGCCCCATAACCTCCTACTGACCCACACTTGGGGGGCAGAATCGTAAGTGCCCCCTTCCCAGCCCCATAGATCACTTGTGACCCCTAAGTGATACTTCCAGACCCACATATGTGGGGCAGACCCATAGATCTTCACATAAGCACCCCATAACCCACTCCTGACCCACACTTGGGCGGCAGCCCCATAAGTGGCCCCCACCCCATAGAGCACCCCATAACCACTGCCCCATAACCTCCTACTGACCCACACTTGGGGGGCAGCCCCATAAGTGCCCCCCCCTCCGCCCCATAGAGCGCCCCATAACCGCTGCCCCATAACCCGCTCCTGACCCACACTTGGGGGGCAGCCCCATAAGTGCCTCCCTACCAGCCCCATAGATCACTTGTGACCCATAAGTGACACTCCCAGACCCACATATGTGGGGCAGACCCATACATCTCCCCATAAGCACCTCATAACCCACTCATGACCCACTCTTGGGGGGCAGCCCCATAAGTGCCCCCCCCACCCCATAGAGCGCCCCACAACCGCTGCCCCATAACCTGCTCCTGACCCACACTTGGGGGGCAGCCCTGTAAATGCCTCCCTCCCAGCCCCATAAGTGTCTCTCCAGCCCCATAAGTACCCCCCTAACCCCACAAGTAACCCCATAACTCCCTATTCCAGCCCCATAAGTGCCCCATAGACGTGCCCCATAAGTGTCTCTCCAGCCCCATAAGTACCCCCATAACTCCCTATTCCAGCCCCATAAGTGCCCCATAGACGTGCCCCATAAGTACCCCATAGCCCCATAAGTGCCCCCCATAACCCCCTTCTTCCAGCCCCATAGGCCCCTATGAGAGCCCCATTGCCCCCCCCCCCCACGTGACCCAAGCCCCGCCCCCCCAGGTGCTGAACGCCGCTCTCCTATTGGCTGCCGTCCTGGCGCCCTTCCTGCCCTCGGTGGGCGTGGCCTTCGCCCTCGTGCTGTGGGAGGGGCTTGTGGGGGGCGCGGCCTACGGGGGCGCCTTCCTATTGGTGGGGCAGCGGGTGAGGGGGCGGGGCCTGCGCGGGCCAATGGGGGCGAAGGGGGAGGGGCTAAAAGGGGGGGAGGGGGGCAATGGGGGCGGGGTTTAAGGGGAGCAGGGGCCAATGGGGGGCGTGGCTTGGGGGTCAATGGGGACCAATGGGAGATCGGGGGCGGGGCTTAAGGGGAGCAGGGGTCAGTGGGGACCAATGGGAGAGGGAGGGAGGGGTGTGGCTTGGGGAAGGGGTGGGGTCAATGGGAGCAAGGGGGGCGGGGCTTAAGGGGGAAGGGGGTGGAGTCAATGGGGGTCGATGGGGGCGGGGCTTGGGGAAGGGGAGGGGTCAATGGGGGCCCAATGGGAGCAAAGGGGGCGGGGCTTAAGGGGGGAAGGGTGGGGTCAATGGGGCGTGGCTTGGGGAAAGGGCGGGGTCAATGGGGGTTAATGGGAGCGGGGGGGCGGGGCTTAGGGAGGGAGGGGGTGGAGTCAATGGGGGTCGATGGGGGCGGGGCTTGAGGGAGGGGTGGGGTCAATTGGGGCCAATGGGAGCGGGGGGGCGGGGCTTAAGGAGGGAGGGAGTGGAGCCAATGGGGGTCAATGGGGGGTGGGGCTTAAGGGGGAGGGGGGTGGAGTCAATGGGTCTAAATGGGGGCGGGGCTTGGGGAAAGGGGCGGGGTCAATGAGGACCAATGGGAGCTTGAGGGTGGGGTTTAAAGGGGAAAGGGCGGGGTCAATAGGGGCCAATGGGGGCCAATGGGGGGGCGGGGCTTGGGGAAGGGGCGGGGCCATTGGAAGTGGGTGGGGCCAAGGAGGGGCGGGGAGAGGGGCTCTGGGGTGGGGTTATAATGGGGGGGGAGGGGGATGTGTGGGTCCCTATGGGTCTCTATGGGGTCTCTATGGGTCTCTATGGGGTCTCTATGGGTCTCTATGGGGTCTCTATGGGTCTCTGGGTCTCTATGGGGTCTCTATGGGGTCTCTATGGGGTTTCTATGGGGTCTCTATGGGGTCTCTATGGGTCTCTATGGGTCCTTATGGGGTTTCTATGGGGTCTCTATGGGTCGCTATGGGTCTCTATGGGTCTCTATGGGGTTTCTATGGGGTCTCTATGGGTCTCTATGGGGTCTCTATGGGTCTCTATGGGGTCTCTATGGGTCTCTGGGTCTCTATGGGTCTCTATGGGGTCTCTATGGGGTCTCTATGGGGTTTCTATGGGGTCTCTATGGGGTCTCTATGGGTCTCTATGGGTCTCTATGGGTCTCTATGGGGTCTCTATGGGTCTCTATGGGTCCCTATGGGTCTCTATGGGTCTCTATGGGGTCTCTATGGGTCTCTATGGGTCCCTATGGGTCCCTATGGGTCTCTATGGGTCTCTATGGGTCCCTATGGGTCTCTATGGGTCTCTATGGGTCTCTATGGGTCTCTATGGGGTTTCTATGGGGTCTCTATGGGTCTCTATGGGGTCTCTATGGGTTTCTATGGGTCTCTATGGGTCTCTATGGGTCTCTATGGGTCTCTATGGGTCTCTATGGGTCTCTATGGGTCTCTATGGGTCTCTATGGGTCTCTATGGGGTCTCTATGGGTCTCTATGGGTCTCTATGGGTCTCTATGGGGTCTCTATGGGTCTCTATGGGTCTCTATGGGTCCCTATGGGTCCCTATGGGTCTCTATGGGTTTCTATGGGGTCTCTATGGGTCTCTATGGGTCTCTATGGGTCCCTATGGGTCCCTATGGGTCTCTATGGGTCTCTATGGGTCCCTATGGGTCTCTATGGGTCTCTATGGGTCTCTATGGGTCTCTATGGGGTTTCTATGGGGTCTCTATGGGTCTCTATGGGGTCTCTATGGGTTTCTATGGGTCTCTATGGGTCTCTATGGGTCTCTATGGGTCTCTATGGGGTCTCTATGGGTCTCTATGGGTCTCTATGGGTCTCTATGGGTCTCTATGGGGTCTCTATGGGTCTCTATGGGTCTCTATGGGTCTCTATGGGGTTTCTATGGGGTCTCTATGGGGTCTCTATGGGTTTCTATGGGTCTCTATGGGTCTCTATGGGTCTCTATGGGTCTCTATGGGTCTCTATGGGGTCTCTATGGGGTCTCTATGGGTTTCTATGGGTCTCTATGGGTCTCTATGGGTCTCTATGGGGCTCCCTGACCTTGGGTGTCTCCCGCAGGCGCCCCCTGGGGGGCGTGGCCTGGCCGTGGCCGTGACGTCACTGGGGCAGTCGCTGGGCGTGGCCTTGGCCGGGGTCGCGGCCATGGGGCTGCACAAGGGGCTCTGTTCCCCATAGCGGGGCCCATAGGGACCCATAGGGACCCTATAGAGACCCCATAGAGCCCCATAGGGACCCATAGAGACCCATAGGGACCCATAGGGACCCCATAGAGCCCCATAGGGACCCATAGGAACCCCATAGAGACACATAGGGACCCCATAGAGACCCCTAGGAACCCATAGAGATCCCATAGAGCTCCATAGCGCCCCATAGAGCCCCATAGGGACCCCATAGAGCCCCATAGGGACCCATAGAGCCCCATAGGGACCCATAGAGCCCCATAGGAACCCCATAGAGCCCCATAGGAACCCCATAGAGCCCCATAGAGTCCCATAGAGCCCCCATAGAGCTCCATAGGGACTCATAGAACCCCATAGGGACCCCATAGAGACCCATAGGAAACCCATAGAGCCCCATAGGAACCCATAGAGCCCCATAGAGACCCCATAGAGCCCCCATAGAGCCCCATAGGGACCCCATAGAGACACATAGAGACCCATAGAGACCCCATAGAGCCCCATAGGACCCCATAGAGACCCCATAGAGCCCCATAGGGACCCCATAGAGCCCCATAGGGACCCATAGAGACCCCATAGAGCCCCATAGAGCCCCATAGGGACCCCATAGAGCCCCATAGGAACCCCATAGGGACCCCATAGAGCCCCATAGGGACCCATAGAGCCCCATAGAGCCCCATAGGAACCCCATAGGGACCCCATAGGAACCCATAGAGCCCCATAGAGCCCCATAGGGACCCCATAGAGCCCCATAGGGACCCATAGGGACCGCATAGAGCCCCATAGGGACCCATAGAACCCCATAGGAACCCCATAGGGACCCCATAGAGCCCCATAGAGCCCCATAGGGACCCATAGAGCCCCATAGGGACCCCATAGAGCCCCATAGAGCCCCATAGGAACCCATAGGGACCCCATAGAAACCCCATAGAGCCCCATAGAGACCCCATAGAGACCCCATAGAGCCCCATAGAGACCCCATAGAGACCCCATAGAGACCCCATAGAGACCCCATAGAGACCCCATAGCGCCCCATAGCCCCAATAAACCTCTTCCCCCCCCCCCATCTCCGCCTGCAGCCTCTCTATGGGCAAAAGGGGGCGGGGCCTGGAGGGGGGAGGGGGCGTGGCCCGCGCTTCCCGCCAGGAACTCGCTTTCCCGCCATGCCTTTCCCGCGCGCGCGCGCGCCGGAAGCGGAAAGCGCGGGAAGGGGGCGGGGAAAAGGGGGCGGGGTCTTTTGGGGTTGCGTCACTTCCGGCCGCACCAGCGTGCAGGGCTGCGGCGTGAGGGTAATGGGGGGGCTGTGGGGCCTATGGGGCGCTATGCGGTCTCTATGGGGCGCTATGGGGCCTATGGGGCTCTATGGGTGTCTATGGGGTGTCTGTGGGGCCTATGGGGTGTTTGTGGGGGGCCATGGGGTGTCTATAGGGCGCTATGAGGGCTATGGGGGGCTATGGGGTGTCTATGGGGCGCTATGGGGGGCTATGGCGTGTCTATGGGGCGCTATGGGTGTCTATGGGGCGCTATGGGGTGCTGTGGGGATCTATGGGTTCTGTGGGGACCTATGGGGCGCTATGGGGTTCCTATGGGGCTCTATGGGGCCCCTATGGGATCTCTATGGGGCGCTATGGGGCTCTATGGGTTCCTATGGGGCTCTATGGGGCTCTATGGGGTCCCTATGGGGCCTATGCGGTCTCTATGGGGCGCTATGGGGCCTATGGGGCTCTATGGGTGTCTATGGGGTGTCTGTGGGGCCTATGGGGTGTTTGTGGGGGGCCATGGGGTGTCTATAGGGCGCTATGAGGGCTATGGGGGGCTATGGGGTGTCTATGGGGCGCTATGGGGGGCTATGGCGTGTCTATGGGGCGCTATGGGTGTCTATGGGGCGCTATGGGGTGCTGTGGGGATCTATGGGTTCTATGGGGACCTATGGGGCGCTATGGGGGCCTATGGGGCGCTATGGGGCCTATGGGGTGCTGAGGGGTGTCTATGGGGCGCTATGGGGTGCTATGGGGCGCTATGGGGTGTCTATGGGGGGCTATGGGGCTATGGGGATCTGTGGGTTCTATGGGGGTCTGTGGGGTGTCTATGGGGGGCTATGGGGCGCTATGGGGTGTCTATGGGGCGCTATGGGGCTCTATGGGGCCTATGGGGGGCTATGGGGCCTATGGGGCTCTATGGGGGTCTGTGGGGGCCTGTGGGGCGCTATGGGGCGCTATGGGGGGCTATGGGGCGTTATGGGGTTCTGTGGGGGGCTATGGGGTGCTATGGGGGGGTCTATGGGGGGTCTATGGGGCGCTATGGGTTGCTGTGGGGTGTCTGTGGGGTGCTATGGGGAGCTATGGGGATCTGTGGGTCCTATGGGGGTCTGCGGGGTGTCTATGGGGGGCTATGGGGGGCTATGGGGCCTATAGGATGTCTATGGGGCGCTATGGGGCGCTATGGAGTGTCTGTGGGGCGCTATGGGGTGCTATAGGGATCTGTGGGTTCTATGGGGGCCTGTGGGTTGTCTATGGGGTGGATATGCGGGTCTATGGGGCGCTATGGGAGTCTATGGGGGCCTATGGGTGCTATGGGGGGCTATGGGGCGCTATGAGGCCTATGGGGCGCTATGGGGGGCTATGGAGGTCTATGGCGTGGATATGAGGGTCTATGGGGCACTATGGGGTGTCTGTGGGGCGGTATGGGGTGCTATGGGGATCTGTGGGTTTTATGGGGGCCTGTGGGGTGTCTATGGGGTGGATATGGGGGTCTATGGGGGGCTGTGGGGGGCCTGTGCGGGCTATGGGGTTCTATGGGGGCCTGTGGGGGTCTGTGGGGTCCTACGGGTGCTATTGGGGGTCTGTGCGGGGTATGGGGGCTATGGGGATATATGGGACCTATGGGGCTCTATGGGGGGCTGTGGGGCCTATGGGGCGCTATGGGGTGTCTATGGGGGTCTACGAGGTGGATATGAGGGTCTATGGGGCACTATGGGATGTCTATGGGGGGCTATGGGGCGCTATAGGGTGTGTGTGGGGTCTGTGGGGGGCTCCGGGTGCTATTGGGGGTCTGTGCGGGCTATGGGGGCTATGGGGATATATGGGTTCTATGGGGGCCTATGGAGCGCTATGGGAGGCTATGGGGTGTCTATGGGGCGCTATGGGGTATCTATGGGGGTCTATGGGGTGGATATGAGGGTCTGTGGGGCACTATGGGGGGCTATGGGGCGCTATAGGGTGTCTGTGGGGTCTATGGGGGGTACGGGTGCTGTGCGGGCTATGGGGTTCTATGGGGTCTATGGGGATCTATGGGTTCTATGGGGCCTGTGGGGGTCTATGGGGGGCTACGGGGGGTCTATGGGGCGCTATGGGTTCTATGGGGGCCTATGGGGGGCTATGGGGATCTATGGGGTGCAACGGGGATCTATAGGTTCTGTGGGTGCCTGTGGGGGTCTCTGGAGCACTATGGGGTGTCTATGGGAGTCTGGGGGGGGCTATGGGGGGTCTATAGGGGGCTATGGGTCCCTATGGGCTGTATGGGTTTCTATGGGTCCCTGTGGGTCTCTATGGGTCACACGTATGGGGCTGCCCCATAGCAGGACCATGTCCCTATGGGTCTCTATGGGTCCCTATGGGTCTCTATGGGTCCCTATGGGTCTCTATGGGTCTCTATGGGTCCCTATGGGTCTCTATGTGTCTCTATGTGTCCCTATGGGTCACACGTGTGGGGCTGCCCCATAGCAGGACCATGTCGCGCTTCTTCACCACCGGCTCCGACAGCGAATCCGAGTCCTCGGCCTCGGGGGACGAGCTCGCCCCAAAGCCTGCGGGGGGCAACTACAGCAAGTGGGTGTCTGTGGGGCGCTATGGGGCGGATATGGGGTTCTATGGGGTGGATATGGGGGGCTATGGGGTGGCTATGGGGGCCTATGGGGTGGATATGGGGGTCTATGGGGCTCTATGGGGGGCTATGGGGTGTCTATGGGGTGTCTGTGGGGGGCTATGGGGTGTCTATGCGGGGCTATGGGGTGGATATGGGGTGTCTATGGGGGTCTGTGGGGGGGCTATGGGGGGGTATAGGGTGTCTATGGGGTGGATATGGGGGGCTATGGGGTGGATATGGGGCGCTATGGGGCGGATATGGGGGGCTATGGGGTGGATATGGGGGCCTATGGGGTGGATATGGGCTATGGGGTGTCTGTGGGGGGCTATGGGGGGCTATGGGGCGGATATGGGGTGGATACGGGGTGTCTATGGGGCACTATGGGTGTCTATGGGGCGCTATGGGGCGGATATGGGGTTCTATGGGGCGGATATGGGGTGTCTATGGGGTGGATATGGGGTGGCTATGGGGAGTCTATGGGCACTTTGGGGTGGATATGGGGCGCTATGGGATGTCTATGGGGGGCTATGGGGCGCTATGGGGTGGATATGGGGTGTCTATGGGGCGCTATGGGGTGGATATGGGGGGCTATGGGGTGGATATGGGGTGGATATGGGGTGCTATGGGTGGATATGGGGTGTCTATGGGGCGCTATGGGGGGGATATGAGGGGCTATGGGGTGGCTATGGGGTGGATATGGGGTGCTATGGGTGGATATGGGGTGTTTATGGGGGTCTATGGGGTGGATATGGGGTGTCTATGGGGTGGCTATGGGGGGCTATGGGGGGCTATAGGGTGTCTATGGGGTGTCTATGGGGGTCTATGGGGTGGCTGTGGGGGTCTATGGGGTTGATATGGGGGGCTATGAGGGGCTATGGGGTGTCTGTGGGGGGGCTGTGGGGTGTCTATGGGTGCCTGTGGGGTGCTCTGGGGAGTCTATAGGAGTATATGGGGTGCTATGGGGTGTCTGTAGGGGTCTATGGGGCGTCCATGGGTATCTATGGGGCTCTATGGGTCCCTATGGCTCTCTATGGGGCTCTATGGGGTCCCTATGGGTCTCTATGGCGCTCTATGGGGCGCTATGTCTTCTATGGGGTTCTATGGGTCTGTATCGGGTCTCTATGGGGTTCCATGGGGTCTCTATGGAGTGTCCATGGGTATCTATGGATCTCTGTGGGTCCCTATGGGTCTCTATGGGTCCCTATGGGTCTCTATGGGGCAGCCCCACAACCTCTTGCTCCCCATAGGCCGCTGCTGCTCAGTGAGGATGAGGAGGACACGAAGCGCGTGGTGCGGAGCGCCAAGGACAAGAGGTGGGGGGGGCAGCCATGGGGTCGCTATGGGGCTCTATGGGGCCCTATGGGTCGCTATGGGTCCCTATGGGTCGCTATGGGGCCCTATGGGGGCTCTATGGGTCCCTATGGGGCTCTCTATGGGTCGCTATGGGGCCCTATGGGTCCCTATGGTCTCTCTATGGGTCGCTATGGGGCTCTATGGGGCTCTCTGTAGGTCCCTATGGGTCCCTATGGTCTCTCTATGGGTCGCTATGGGGCTCTCTATGGGTCCCTATGGGTCCCTGTGGTCTGTCTATGGGTCCCTATGGGTCCTGATAGGTCTCTGTGCGTCGCTATGGGGCTCTCTATGGGTCTCTATGGGTCGCTGTGGGTCCCTATGGTCTCTCTATGGGTCGCTGTGGGGCTCTCTATGGGGTCTCTATGGGTCCCTAGGCATCCCTATGGGGCTCTCTATGGGTCCCTGTGGTCCGTCTATGGGTCCTGATAGGTCTCTATGCGTCGCTATGGGGCTCGGTATGGCTCTCTATGGGTCTCTATGGGTCGCTATGGGTCCCTATGGTCTCTCTATGGGTCGCTGTGGGGCTCTCTATGGGGTCTCTATGGGTCCCTATGCATCCCTATGGGGCTCTCTATGGGTCCCTGTGGTCCGTCTATGGGTCCTGATAGGTCTCTATGCGTCGCTATGGGGCTCGCTATGGGTCGCTATGGGTTGCTATGGGTCCCTATGGGCTCTCTATGGGTCACTATGGGGCTCTCTATGGGGTCTCTATGGGTCCCTGTGCGTCTCTATGGGGCTCTCTGTGGGTCCCTATGGAGTCCCTATGGGTCCCTGTGGTCTGTCTATGGGTCCCTATGGGTCCTGATAGGTCTGTATGCGTCGCTATGGGGCTCGCTATGGTTCTCTATGTGTCTCTATGGGTCTCTATGGCTCTCTATGGGGTCTCTATGGGTCTCTATGGGTCTCTATGTGTCTCTATGGGCTCTCTATGGGTCTCTATGGGGTCTCTATGGGGTCTCTATGGGTCTCTATGTGTCTCTATGGGCTCTCTATGGGTCTCTATGGGGTCTCTATGGGTCTCTATGGGTCTCTATGGGCTCTCTATGGGTCTCTATGGGGTCTCTATGGGGTCTCTATGGGTCTCTATGGGTCTCTATGTGTCTCTATGGGCTCTCTATGGGTCTCTATGGGGTCTCTATGGGTCTCTATGGGTCTCTATGGGCCTCTATGGGCTCTCTATGGGTCTCTATGGGGTCTCTATGGGTCTCTATGGGTCTCTATGGGGTCTCTATGGGTGTCTATGGGTCTCTATGGGTCTCTATGGGTCTCTATGGGTCTCTATGGGTCTCTATGGGTCCCGCTATGGGTCGCTATGGGGCAGGTTCGAGGAGCTGGCGGCGCTCATCCGCACCATCCGCAATGCGATGAAGATCCGGGATGGGGCTGAGCTCTATGGGGCTCTCTATGGGTCTCTATGGGTCTCTATGGGTCTCTATGGGTCTCTATGGGTCTCTATGGGTCTCTATGGGGTCTCTATGGGTCTCTATGGGTCTCTATGGGGTCTCTATGGGGTCTCTATGGGTCTCTATGGGTCTCTATGGGTCTCTATGGGGTCTCTATGGGTCTCTATGGGTCTCTATGGGTCTCTATGGGTCCCTATGGGTCTCTATGGGTCTCTATGGGGTCTCTATGGGGTCTCTATGGGTCTCTATGGGTCTCTATGGGTCTCTATGGGTCTCTATGGGTCCCGCTATGGGTCGCTATGGGGCAGGTTCGAGGAGCTGGCGGCGCTCATCCGCACCATCCGCAATGCGATGAAGATCCGGGATGGGGCTGAGCTCTATGGGGCTCTCTATGGGTCTCTATGGGTCTCTATGGGTCTCTATGGGGTCCCTATGGGTCTCTATGGGTCTCTATGGGTCTCTATGGGTCTCTATGGGTCCCGCTATGGGTCGCTATGGGGCAGGTTCGAGGAGCTGGCGGCGCTCATCCGCACCATCCGCAATGCGATGAAGATCCGCGACGTTTCGCGGTGCCTCGAGGACTTCGAGCTTTTGGGGCGAGCGTTCGCCAAGGCCAAGGGGGTGCTGGAGCGGGACGGGCCCCCCCGCTTCTACATCCGCATCCTCGCCGACCTCGAGGACTACCTGGCCGAGGTGATGGGGGGCGATGTGGGGCAGCTATGGGGCAGCTATGGGGTGTCTATGGGGTGGTATGGGGTGATATAGAGGTTCTATGGGGTGATATGGGGTGTCTATGGGGTGTCTATGGGGTGGTATGGGGTGTCTATGGGGTGATATGTGGTATCTATGGGGAGATATGGGGGTCTATGGGGTGCCTATGGGGTGATATAGGGGGTCTATGGGTGATATAGGGGGTCTATGGGGTGATATAGGGGGTCTGTGGGGTGATATAGGGGGTGTATGGGGGTCTATGGGGTGATATAGGGGGTCTATGGGGTGATATGGGGTGTCTATGGGGTGATATAGGGGGTCTATGGGGTGATATAGGGGGTCTATGGGGTGATATAGAGGGTCTATGGGGTGATATGGGGTGTCTATGGGGTGTCTATGGGGTGCTATGGGGTGTCTATGGGTGTCTATGGGGATGTATTAGGTGTCTGTGGGGTCTCTATGGGTCTCTATGGGGTGTCTATGGGTGTCTGTGTGGTGTCTATGGGTGTCTATGGGGTCTCTATGGGTGTCTATGGGTGTCTATGGGGTGTCTATGGGTCTCTATGGGGTGTCTATGGGGGTCTATGGGGTGTCTATGGGGTTTCTATGTGGTGTCTATGGGGTGTCTATGGGTGTCTATGGGTGTCTATGGGGTGTCTATGGGGTGTCTATGGGTGTCTATGGGGTGTCTATGGGTGTCTATGGGGTGTCTATGGGGTGTCTAGGGGTGTCTATGGGTGTCTATGGGGTGTCTATGGGGTGTCTATGGGGTGTCTATGGGTGTCTATGGGGCTCTATGGGGCTCTATGGGGGTGCTGGAGCGGGACGGGCCCCCCCGCTTCTACATCCGCATCCTCGCCGACCTCGAGGACTACCTGGCCGAGGTGATGGGGGGCGATGTGGGGCGCTATGGGGCAGATATGGGGTGTCTATGGGGAGATATGGGGGTCTATGGGGTGTCTATGGGGTGATATGGGGTGTCTATGGGGTGATATAGAGGGTCTATGGGGTGGAAAAGGGGGTCTATGGGGTGATATAGAGGGTCTATGGGGCTCTATGGGGTGTCTATGGGTGTCTATGGGGTGTCTATGGGTCTCTATGGGGTGTCTATGGGGCTCTATGGGGTGTCTATGGGTGTCTATGGGGTGTCTATGGGGTGATATAGAGGGTCTATGGGGCTCTATGGGGTGTCTATGGGTGTCTATGGGTCTCTATGGGGCTCTATGGGGTGTCTATGGGTGTCTATGGGGTGTCTATGGGGGTCTATGTGGTGTCTATGGGGCTCTATGGGTGTCTATGGGTGTCTATGGGGTGTCTATGGGGCTCTATTGCGTGTCTATGGGGCTCTATGGGTCTCTATGGGTGTCTATGGGGTGTCTATGGGGTGTCTATGGGTGTCTATGGGGTGTCTATGGGTCTCTATGGGGTGTCTATGGGTGTCTATGGGGCTCTATGGGGTGTCTATGGGTGTCTATGGGGCTCTATGGGGTGTCTATGGGTGTCTATGGGGTGTCTATGGGTCTCTATGGGGTGTCTATGGGTGTCTATGGGGCTCTATGGGGTGTCTATGGGTGTCTATGGGGTGTCTATGGGTCTCTATGGGTCTCTATGGGGTGTCTATGGGTGTCTATGGGGCTCTATGGGTGTCTATGGGTGTCTATGGGTGTCTATGGGTGTCTATGGGTGTCTATGGGGCTCTATGGGGCTCTATGGGGCTCTATGGGGGTGCTGGAGCGGGACGGGCCCCCCCGCTTCTACATCCGCATCCTCGCCGACCTCGAGGACTACCTGGCCGAGGTGATGGGGGGCGCTATGGGGCGCTATGGGGTGTCTATGGGGTGATATCGGGGGTCTATGGGGTGGTATGGGGTGTCTATGGGGTGTCTATGGGGCTCTATGGGGTGTCTATGGGGTGTCTATGGGGCTCTATGGGGTGTCTATGGGGCGCTATGGGGTGTCTATGGGGTGTCTATGGGTGTCTGTGGGTGTCTATGGGGTGAAAAAGGGGGTCTATGGGGCCTCTGGGGTAGTATGGGGTGTCTTTGGGGTGATATAGAGGGTCTATGGGGTGATATAGGGGGTCTATGGGGTGATATAGAGGGTCTATGGGGTGAAAAAGGGGGTCTATGGGGTGTGTATGGGGTGTCTATGGGTGTCTGTGGGGTGTCTATGGGGTCTCTATGGGTCTCTATGGGTCCCAATGTGTCCCTATGGTTCCCTATGTGTCTCTATGGGGTCTCAATGGTTCCCTATGGGTCCCAATGGGGTCTCAATGGGTCCCGATGTGTCCGTATGTGTCTCTATGGGGTTTCTATGGGTCCTAATGGTTCCCTGTGGGTCTGTATGGGTCCCAATGTGTCCCAACGGGGTGTCTATGGGTCCCTATGGGTCCCAATGTCTCTCTATGGGTCCCAATGTGTCTCTATGGGTCCCAATGTCTCTCTATGGGTCCCAATGTGTCTCTATGGGTCCCAATGTCTCTCTATGGGTCTCTATGGGTCTCTATGGGTCCCAATGTCTCTCTATGGATCCCAATGTCTCTCTATGGGTCTCTATGGGTCCCAATGTCTCTCTATGGGTCCCAATGTCTCTCTATGGGGTCTCTATGGGTCTCTATGGGTCTCTATGGGTCCCAATGTGTCTCTATGGTTCCCTATGGGTCCCAATGTCCCTCTATGGGTCCCTATGGGTCCCAATGTGTCTCTATGGGTCCCAATGTCTCTCTATGGGTCTCTGGGTGCAGCTGTGGGAGGACAAGGAGGGCAAGAAGCGCATGAACAAGAACAACGCGAAGGCGCTGAGCTCCCTGCGCCAGAAGCTGCGCAAGCACAACCGGCACTACGAGGAGCTCATCGGCGCCTACAGACAGGTGGGGGGCAGGCTATGGGGCGGGGGTGTGGGGCGGGAGCTATGGGGCAGAGCTATGGGGTGGGAGCTATGGGGCAGGGATGTGGGGCAGGGATGTGGGGCGGGGATGTGGGGCGGGAGCTATGGGGCAGGGATGTGGGGTGGGAGCTATGGGGCAGAGCTATGGGGCAGGGAGCTATGGGGTGGGGTCTGTGGGGCGGGAGGTGTGGGGCGGCAGCTGTGGGGCAGGAGCTATGGGGTGGGAGGTGTGGGGCAGGAGCTATGGGGCACAGGTGTGGGGTGGGAGCTATGGGGTGGGAGCTATGGGGTGGGATCTATGGGGTGGGAGCTATGGGGCAGGGAGCTATGGGGTGGGGTCTAGGGGGTGGGATGTATGGGGTGGGAGGTGTGGGGTGGGAGCTATGGGGCAGGAGCTATGGGGTGGGATCTATGGGGTGGGAGCTGTGGGGTGGGAGCTATGGGGCAGAGCTATGGGGTGGGAGCTATGGGGTGGGAGCTATGGGGCAGGATCTATGGGGCAGGATGTATGGGGCAGGATCTATGGGGCAGGGATGTGGGGCAGGAGCTATGGGGCAGAGGTGTGGGGTGGGATGTATGGGGCAGGGGTGTGGGGTGGGAGGTGTGGGGCGGGGTCTAGGGGGTGGGAGCTATGGGGCGGGGTCTATGGGGCGGGGCTGTGGGGCGGGAGATGTGGGGTGGGAGGTGTGGGGTGGGATCTATGGGGCAGGGGTGTGGGGTGGGATCTATGGGGTGGCAGGTGTGGGGTGGGATCTGTAGGTGGGAGCTGTGGGGCAGGATCTATGGGGTGGGATGTATGGGGCAGGATCTGTGGGGTGGGAGCTATGGGGCGGAGCTATGGGGCGGGATCTATGGGGTGGGGTCTATGGGGTGGGAGGTGTGGGGCAGGGGTGTGGGGTGGGAGGTGTGGGGTGGGATCTATGGGTGGGAGGTGTGGGGCGGGGGTGTGGGGTGGGAGGTGTGGGGTGGGAGATGTGGGGCAGGAGGTGTGGGGTGGGATGTATGGGGCAGGATCTATGGGGCGGGATGTATGGGGCAGGATCTGTGAGGCGGGAGCTATGGGGCAGGAGGTGTGGGGTGGGATGTATGGGGCAGGATCTGTGGGGCAGGAGCTATGGGACGGGGGTGTGGGGCAGGAGGTGTGGGGCGGGGTCTATGGGTGGGAGGTGCGGGCTGGGAGGTGTGTGTGGGGGATCTATGGGGCAGGATCTATGGGGCGGGGGTGTGGGGTGGGATCTATGGGGAGTGGTGTGGGGTGGGAGATGTGGGGCAGGAGATATGGGGCAGGGGTATGGGGTGGGAGCTATGGGGCAAGGCTATGGGGTGATCTGTGGGGCAGGTTATGGGGTGATCTATGGGGTGCTATGGGGCAGGGAGCTATGGGGTGGGAGCTATGGGGGATGGAGCTATGGGTCCCTATGGGTCTCTATGGGTCAATCTATGGGTCTCTGTGGGTCCCTATGGAGCTCTATGGGTCAATCTATGGGTCTCTGTGGGTCCCTATGGGGCTCTGTGGGTCCCTATGGGGCTCTATGGGTCCCTATGGGGCTCTGTGGTTCAATCTGTGGGTCTCTGTGGGTCCCTATGGGGCCCTATGGGTCTCTGTGGGTCTCTATGGGGTCCCTATGGGTCCCTATGGGGCTCTATGGGTCAATCTATGGGTCTCTGTCTTCCAGAACCCGGAGCTCTCGGATGAGGATGAGGAGAAGAGGAGCCGGGACTCGGAGGGTAGGAACATGGGGGGCACGCTATGGGGCAGGCTATGGGTCACATCTATGGGGCACACCTATGGGTCACATCTATAGGGTACTCTGTGGGGCACATCTATGGGGTACTCTATGGGTCACATCTATGGGGCACACTATGGGTCACATCTATGGGGCACGCTATGGGTCACATCTATGGGGTACTCTATGGGTCACATCTATGGGGTACTCTATGGGTCAATCTGTGGGGCACACTATGGGTCACATCTGTGGGGCACACTATGGGTCACATCTATGGGGCACACCTATGGGTCACATCTGTGGGGTACTCTGTGGGTCAATCTGTGGGGCACACTATGGGTCACATCTATGGGGTACTCTATGGGTCACATCTATGGGTCACTCTATGGGGCACATCTATGGGGCACACCTATGGGTCACATCTATGGGGTACTCTGTGGGTCAATCTGTGGGGCACACCTATGGGTCACATCTGTGGGTCACACCTATGGGGCACACCTATGGGTCACATCTATGGGGTACTCTATGGGTCACATCTATGGGGTACTCTATGGGTCACATCTATGGGGCACACCTATGGGTCACATCTATGGGGTACTCTATGGGTCACATCTATGGGGCACACCTATGGGTCACATCTGTGGGGCATACCTATGCGTCACATCTATGGGGCAGGCTATGGGTCACATCTATGGGGTACTCTATGGGTCACAACTGTGGGGCGCTCTATGGGTCACATCTATGGGGCACACCTATGGGTCACATCTATGGGGTACTCTATGGGTCAATCTGGGGCACACTATGGGTCACATCTATGGGGTACTCTATGGGTCAATCTGTGGGGCGCACTATGGGTCACATCTATGGGGCACACCTATGGGTCACATCTATGGGGCAGGCTATGGGTCACATCTGTGGGGCACACCTATGGGTCACATCTATGGGGCACGCTATGGGTCACATCTATGGGGCACACCTATGGGTCACATCTATGGGGCAGGCTATGGGTCACATCTGTGGGGCACACCTATGGGTCACATCTATGGGGCACACCTATGGGTCACATCTATGGGGTACTCTATGGGTCAATCTGTGGGGCACACTATGGGTCACATCTATGGGGCACGCTATGGGTCACATCTGTGGGGCACACCTATGGGTCACATCTATGGGGTACTCTATGGGTCACATCTATGGGGCACACTATGGGTCACATCTATGGGGTACTCTATGGGTCAATCTGTGGGGCACACTATGGGTCACATCTGTGGGGTACTCTATGGGGCACATCTGTGGGTCAATCTATGGGGCACTCTATGGGTCACATCTGTGGGGCACACTATGGGTCACATCTATGGGGTACTCTATGGGTCACATCTGTGGGGCACACTATGGGTCACATCTATGGGGCACACCTATGGGTCACATCTATGGGGTACTCTATGGGTCACATCTATGGGTCACTCTATGGGGCACATCTATGGGGCACACCTATGGGTCAATCTATGGGGCACTCTATGGGTCACATCTACGGGTAAATCTATGGGGCAATTTATGGGTTACATCTATGGGGCACTCTGTGGGTCACATCTATGGGTCAATCTATGGGGTAATCTGTGGGTCAATCTATGGGTCGCTCTATGGGGCACATCTATAGGGCACTCTGGGTCACTGGGTCACTCTATGGGTCACATCTATGGGTCACTCTATGGGGCACATCTATGGGTCACTGGGTCACTCTATGGGTCACATCTATGGGTCACTCTATGGGGCACATCTATGGGTCACTGGGTCACTCTATGGGTCACATCTATGGGTCACTCTATGGGGCACATCTATGGGTCACTGGGTCACTCTATGGGTCACTCTATGGGGTACATCTCTGGGTCACTCTGAGTCACTCTATGGGTCACTCTATGGGTCACTCTATGGGGCACATCTATGGGTCACTCTATGGGTCACATGTATGGGTCACTATGGGGTACATCTGTGGGTCACTGGGTCACTCTATGGGGCACATCTATGGGTCACTGGGTCACTCTATGGGTCACATGTATGGGTCACTCTATGGGTCACATGTATGGGTCACTCTATGGGGCACTTCTATGGGTCACTCTATGGGTCACATCTATGGATCACTATGGGGCACATCTATGGGTCACTCTGGGTCTCTCTATGGGTCACTCTGTGGGTCACATCTATGGGGCACTTCTATGGGTCACTCTATGGGGCACATCTATAGGGCACTCTATGGCTTATCTATGGGTCAATCTGTGTCCTTCTATGAGTTCCTCTGTGGGGTCTCTATGGGTCCCTATGGGTCTCTATGGGGTCCCTATGGGGTCTCTATGGGTCCCTATGGGTCTCTATGGGGTCCCTATGGGGTCTCTATGGGTCTCTATGGGTCTCTATGGGGTCCCTATGGGTCTCTATGGGTCTCTATGGGGTCTCTATGGGTCTCTATGGGGTCTCTATGGGTCTCTATGGGGTCTCTATGGGTCCCTATGGGGCTGAGCCCTCCCTCCCCCCCCCAGGCTCTTCCTCCCCCTCCTCCTCCTCCTCGGGCGATGAGGACGAGGCCGGGGCCTTCCTCAAGAAGCGGGAGGAGGGGAGGAGCCGCTTCCTGAAGGCAAGAGATCTATGGGGCAGGAGCTATGGGGTGGGAGCTATGGGGCAGGGAGCTATGGGGTGGGGCTATGGGGCGGGAGCTATGGGGCAGGGAGCTATGGGGTGGGGTCTGTGGGGCAGGGATCTGTGGGGTGGGAGCTATGGGGTGGGGTCTATGGGGTGGGAGCTATGGGGCAGGGATCTATGGGGCAGGAGCTATGGGGTAGGGTGTGGGGCTATGGGGCAGGGATCTATGGGGCAGGGATCTATGGGGTGGGAGCTATGGGGCGGGGATCTATGGGGCAGGGATCTATGGGGCAGGGATCTATGGGGTGGGAGCTATGGGGCGGGATCTATGGGGCAGGGATCTATGGGGTGGGAGCTATGGGGCAGGGATCTATGGGGCAGGGATCTATGGGGCAGGAGCTATGGGGTGGGAGCTATGGGGTGGGGTGTGGGGCTATGGGGCAGGGATCTGGGGTGGGGGCTATGGGGCGGGAGCTATGGGGCGGGAGCTATGGGGCAGGGAGCTATGGGGTGGGGGCTATGGGGCAGGAGCTATGGGGCAGGAGCTATGGGGCAGGAGCTATGGGGCAGGGAGCTATGGGGCAGGAGCTATGGGGCAGGAGCTATGGGGCGGGGCTATGGGGCAGGGATCTATGGGGCGGGGCTATGGGGCGGGAGCTATGGGGCAGGGATCTATGGGGCAGGAGCTATGGGGCGGGAGCTATGGGGCAGGGAGCTATGGGGCGGGAGCTATGGGGCAGGAGCTATGGGGCGGGAGCTATGGGGCAGGGAGCTATGGGGCAGGGATCTATGGGGCAGGAGCTATGGGGCGGGAGCTATGGGGCAGGGAGCTATGGGGTGGGAGCTATGGGGCAGGGATCTATGGGGCAGGGATCTATGGGGCAGGGATCTATGGGGCAGGGAGCTATGGGGCAGGAGCTATGGGGCAGGGAGCTATGGGGCAGGGAGCTATGGGGCAGGGATCTGTGGGGTGGGAGCTATGGGGTGGGGTCTATGGGGTGGGAGCTATGGGGCAGGGATCTATGGGGCAGGAGCTATGGGGTAGGGTGTGGGGCTATGGGGCAGGGATCTATGGGGCAGGGATCTATGGGGTGGGAGCTATGGGGCGGGGATCTATGGGGCAGGGATCTATGGGGCAGGGATCTATGGGGTGGGAGCTATGGGGCGGGATCTATGGGGCAGGGATCTATGGGGTGGGAGCTATGGGGCAGGGATCTATGGGGCAGGGATCTATGGGGCAGGAGCTATGGGGTGGGAGCTATGGGGTGGGGTGTGGGGCTATGGGGCAGGGATCTGGGGTGGGGGCTATGGGGCGGGAGCTATGGGGCGGGAGCTATGGGGCAGGGAGCTATGGGGTGGGGGCTATGGGGCAGGAGCTATGGGGCAGGAGCTATGGGGCAGGGAGCTATGGGGCAGGAACTATGGGGCAGGAGCTATGGGGCGGGGCTATGGGGCAGGGATCTATGGGGCGGGGCTATGGGGCGGGAGCTATGGGGCAGGGATCTATGGGGCAGGAGCTATGGGGCGGGAGCTATGGGGCAGGGAGCTATGGGGCGGGAGCTATGGGGCAGGAGCTATGGGGCGGGAGCTATGGGGCAGGGAGCTATGGGGCAGGGATCTATGGGGCAGGAGCTATGGGGCGGGAGCTATGGGGCAGGGAGCTATGGGGCGGGAGCTATGGGGCGGGAGCTATGGGGCAGGGAGCTATGGGGCGGGAGCTATGGGGCAGGAGCTATGGGGCAGGGATCTATGGGGCGGGGCTATGGGGTGGAAGCTATGGGGCAGGGAGCTATGGGGTGGGAGCTATGGGGAGGGAGCTATGGGGCAGGGAGCTATGGGGTGGGAGCTATGGGGCAGGGAGCTATGGGGTGGGAGCTATGGGGTGGGAGCTATGGGGCAGGGAGCTATGGGGTGGGAGCTATGGGGTGGGAGCTATGGGGCAGGGAGCTATGGGGTGGGAGCTATGGGGTGGGGCTATGGGGTGGGAGCTATGGGGTGGGAGCTATGGGGCAGGGAGCTATGGGGTGGGAGCTATGGGGTGGGAGCTATGGGGCAGGGAGCTATGGGGAGGGAGCTATGGGGCAGGGAGCTATGGGGTGGGAGCTATGGGGTGGGAGCTATGGGGCAGGGAGCTATGGGGTGGGGGCTATGGGGCAGGGAGCTATGGGGTGGGAGCTATGGGGTGGGAGCTATGGGGCAGGGATCTATGGGGTGGGGGCTATGGGGCGGGAGCTATGGGGCAGGGAGCTATGGGGTGGGGCTATGGGGTGGGGGCTATGGGGCAGGGAGCTATGGGGCAGGGAGCTATGGGGTGGGGGCTATGGGGCAGGGAGCTATGGGGTGGGAGCTATGGGGTGGGAGCTATGGGGCAGGGATCTATGGGGTGGGGGCTATGGGGCGGGAGCTATGGGGCAGGGAGCTATGGGGTGGGGCTATGGGGTGGGGGCTATGGGGCAGGGAGCTATGGGGCAGGAGCTATGGGGCGGGGAGCTATGGGGCGGGAGCTATGGGGTGGGAGCTATGGGGCAGGGAGCTATGGGGCAGGGAGCTATGGGGCAGGGATCTATGGGGCAGGGAGCTATGGGGCAGGGATCTATGGGGAGGGAGCTATGGGGTGGGAGCTATGGGGCAGGGAGCTATGGGGCGGGAGCTATGGGGCAGGGAGCTATGGGCAGGGATCTATGGGGCAGGGAGCTATGGGGCGGGGCTATGGGGTGGGGTGTGGGGCTATGGGGCAGGGAGCTATGGGGTGGGAGCTATGGGGCAGGGATCTATGGGGTGGGAGCTATGGGGCAGGATCTATGGGGCGGGATCTATGGGGTGGGAGCTATGGGGCAGGGATCTATGGGGCAGGGATCTATGGGGCAGGGAGCTATGGGGTGGGAGCTATGGGGCAGGGAGCTATGGGGCAGGGAGCTATGGGGTGGGAGCTATGGGGCAGGGAGCTATGGGGTGGGGTCTGTGGGGCAGGGGTCTGTGGGGCGGGAGCTATGGGGTGGGGTCTGTAGGGCGGGAGCTATGGGGTGGGGCTATGGGGTGGAAGCTATGGGGTGGGGTCTGTGGGGTGGGAGCTATGGGTCCCTCTCTGGCTGTGTTTCTATGGGTCTGATCTATGGGTCCCGCTCTGGCTGTGTTTCTATGGGTCTGATCTATGGGTCTGATCTATGGGTCCGATCTCTGGCTGTGTTTCTATGGGTCCCGCTATGGGTCTGATCTATGGGTCCGATCTATGGGTCCCTCTCTGGCTGTGTTTCTATGGGTCTGATCTATGGGTCCCGCTCTGGCTGTGTTTCTATGGGTCTGATCTATGGGTCTCGCTCTGGCTGTGTTTCTATGGGTCCAATCTATGGGTCTGATCTATGGGTCCCGCTCTGGCTGTGTTTCTATGGGTCTGATCTATGGGTCTGATCTATGGGTCCCTCTCTGGCTGTGTTTCTATGGGTCTGATCTATGGGTCCGATCTATAGGTCCGATCTATGGGTCTGATCTATGGGTCCGATCTATGGGTCTGATCTATGGGTTCGATCTCTGGGTCCGATCTATGGGTCCGGTCTATGGGTCCAATCTATGGGTCTGATCTATGGGTCTGATCTATGGGTCCCGCTCTGGCTGTGTTTCTATGGGTCCGATCTATGGGTCTGATCTATGGGTCCCTCTCTGGCTGTGTTTCTATGGGTCTGATCTATGGGTCCGATCTATAGGTCCGATCTATGGGTCTGATCTATGGGTCCGATCTATGGGTCTGATCTATGGGTCTGATCTCTGGCTGTGTTTCTATGGGTCCCGCTATGGGTCTGACCTATGGGTCCCTCTCTGGCTGTGTTTCTATGGGTCCCCATGCTATGGGTCCCATCTCTGGGTCTGATCTCTGGGTCTGATCTCTGGGTCTGATCTCTGGGTCTGATCTCTGGGTCCGATCTATGGGTCTGATCTATGGGTCTGATCTATGGGTCCCGCTCTGGCTGTGTTTCTATGGGTCCCGCTCTGGCTGTGTTTCTATGGGTCCCCACGCTATGGGTCCGATGCATATGGGGGTCACTATGGGTCTGATCTATGGGTCCCGCTCTGGCTGTGTTTCTATGGGTCCCCACGCTATGGGGCTGCCCCCTAAGTCCCTCCCCTCGTCCCTCCCCTCCCCCATTCAGGGCTCGGCGTCGCCGTCGTCGTCCTCGGCCTCGGGTGGGGGTTGGGGCTCCTCGGGCTCGGGCTCGGGCTCGGAGGAGGAGGAGGAGGGGGGGGAGGGGAAGGGCCCGAGCCTGCAACTGGCGTCCAGGTTCCTGAAGAGGTGAGGGGGGAGGGGGGGAGGGGGGGGGGGGAGGGGAAGAGGGGGTGGGGGATGGGGAAAGAGGGGGATGGGAGGGGGAAGGGGAGGTGGGGGAGGGGAGAGAAAATGGGGGGGAGGGGGGGGAGGGGGGAAAGAGGGGGGGAATGGGGATGGGGGATGGGGAAAGAGGGGGAGGGGAGGGGAGGGGGAAAGAGGGGGAGGGGAGGGGGAAGGGAAGTAAATGGGGGGGGAGGGGATGGGGGGGAGGGGGAAAGAGGGGGGGTTGGGGATGGGGAAGGGGGAGTGGAGGATGGGGGGGAGAGGATGGGGGAGGGGAATGGGGGGAGGGGGGAAATGGGGGGGGGAGGGGGAGGAAGTAAATGGGGGGGAGGGGATGGGGGGAGGGGGGGATGGGGGAAAGTGGGGGGGGATGGGGGTGGGGAAGGGGGAAAGAGGGGGAGGGGAAGGGAAGTAAATGGGCGGGAGGGGATAGGGGGGAAGGGAATGGAGGTGAAGAGAGGGGGAAGGGGGAGTGGGGGAGGGGGGTGAAGGGAGGGGGGGAAGGGGGATGGGGGTGAAGGGGGGAGGGGGGAGGGAGGGGAATGGGGGGAGGGGGGCAATGGGGGGGGTGAGGGGGAGGGGAATGGGGGTGAAGGGGGGGGTAGGGGGAGTGGGGGGAGGGGATGGGGGACGGGAGTAAATGGGGGGGAGGGGAGGGGGAGGGGGAGGGGAATGGGGGTGAAGGGAAGGGGGAGTGGGGGATGGGGGGGAGGGGATGGGGGGAGGGGAGGGGGATGGAGGACGGGGGAGGAAATGGGGGGGGATGGGGGGGAATGGGGGTGAGGGGATGAGGGGGAGGGGGGAGGGGAATGGGGGTGAACGGAGGGGGAAGGGGGAGGGGATGGGGGACGGAAGTAAATGGGGGGGAGGGGTGAAGGGGGATGGGGGGGGAGGGGGCAGGGGGAGGGGTGGGATGGGGGAGGGGATGGGGGAGGGGGAGTCCTGATCTATAGGTTCTTGAAGGGGGGGAGGGGGCTGTGGGAAGGGGGAGGGGTGAAGAGGGCATGGGGGGGATGGGGGAGAAGGGGTCTGACCCATAGAGAACTGTGGGTTCCTGAAGGGGGGCAGGGCGGGGTGTCTCTATGGGGTCCCTATGTGTTTCTCTATGGGTTCCTGTGGGGTTTCTATGGGTCCCAATGTGTCTCTATATGTCCCTATGGGGTCTCTGTGGGTCTCTGTGGGGTCTCTATGGTCTCTCTATGGGTCTCTATGGGTCCCAATGGGGTCTCTATGTGTCTCTATGGGGTCTCTATGGTCTCTCTATGGGGTCTCTATGGGTCCCAATGGTCTCTCTATGGGTCTCTGTAGGTCCCTGTGGGTCTCTATGGGTCTCTATGGTCTCTCTATGGGTCTACTGTGTCTCTATGGGGTTCCTATGGGGTCTCTATGGGTCTCTATGGTTCCCTATGGGTCTCTATGGGTCCCTATGGGTCTCTGTGTGTCGCAATGGTCTCTCTATGGGTCCCTATGGGTCTCTATGGGTCTCTATGGGTCCCTATGGGGTCTCTATGTGTCTCTATGGGTCTCTATGTGTCTCTATGTGTCTCTATGGGTCCCAATGTCTCTCTATGTGTCTCTATGGGTCCCAATGTGTCTCTATGGGTCCCAATGTCTCTCTATGTGTCTCTATGGGTCCCAATGTGTCTCTATGGGGTCTCTATGGGTCTCTATGGGTCCCAATGTGTCTCTATGGGGTCTCTATGGGTCTCTATGGGTCCCAATGTGTCTCTATGGGGTCTCTATGTGTCTCTATGGGTCCCAATGGGGTCTCTATGGGGTCTCTATGGGTCTCTATGGGTCCCAATGTGTCTCTATGGGGTCTCTATGGGTCTCTATGGGTCCCAATGTCTCTCTATGGGTCTCTATGGGTCTCTATGGGTCCCAATGTCTCTCTATGGGTCTCTATGGGTCCCAATGTCTCTCTATGGGTCCCTATGGGGTCTCTATGGGTCCCCATGTGTCTCTATGTGTCTCTATGGGGTCTCTATGTGTCTCTATGGGTCTCTATGGGGTCTCTATGGGGTCTCTATGGGGTCTCTATGGGTCTCTATGGGTCTCTATGTGTCTCTATGGTTCCCTATGGGTCTCTATGGGTCCCAATGTCTCTCTATGGGTCCCAATGTCTCTCTATGGGTCTCTATGGGTCCCAATGTCTCTCTATGTGTCTCTATGGGTCTCTATGGGTCTCTATGGGTCCCAATGGGGTCTCTATGTGTCTCTATGTCTCTCTATGGGTCTCTATGGGTCCCAATGGGGTCTCTATGTGTCTCTATGTCTCTCTATGGATCTCTATGGGTCCCCATGTGTTTCTATGGGTCTCAATGGGGTCTCAATGTGTGCCATAGGGACGAGGAGCGCCGCGGTGGGGCCGGGGAGCGGCGCCGTGGGGAGCGGCCCCGCCGCAAGAGGGCGCCACGGAGCCGGCGCGAGGAGGAGGAGGAGGAGCCTGAGGGGGGGGAGTGGGAGAGGGTGAAAGGAGGAGCCCCATTGGTCAAGGTGAGAGGTGGGAGGGGCTAAGAGGGGTGGGAGGGGCCAATGGGGAGAGAGGGGAGGGGCTAAGGGGGAGAGAGGGGAGGAGCCTGAGGGGGGGGAGTGGGAGAGGGTGAAAGGAGGAGCCCCATTGGTCAAGGTGAGCGGTGGGAGGGGCTAAGGGGGGTGGGAGGGGCCAATGGGGAGAAAGGGGAGGGGTTATGGGGGGTGGGAGGGGCTAAGGGGGGAGTGGGAGAGGGTGAAAGGAGGAGCCCCATTGGTCAAGGTGAAGGGTGGGAGGGGCTAAGGGGGAGAGAGGGGAGGGGCTAAGGGGGAAAGGGGGAGCCCCATTGGTCAAGGTGAGCGAGGGGAGGGGCTAAGGGGGAAAGGGGAGGGGCTATGGGGGGGGAAAGGGGGAGCCCCATTGGTAAAGGTGAGAGGTGGGAGGGGCTAAGGGGGAAAGGGGAGGGGCTATGGGGGGGGAAGGGGGAGCCCCATTGGTCAAGGTGAGGGGTGGGAGGGGCCAATGGGGAGAGAGGGGAGGGGCTAAGGGGGGTGGGAGGGGTCAATGGGGAGAGAGGGGAGGGGCTAAGGGGGGAGTGGGAGAGGGTGAAAGGAGGAGCCCCATTGGTCAAGGTGAGAGGTGGGAGGGGCCAATGGGGAGAGAGGGGAGGGGTTATGGGGGGTAATGGGGAGGGAGGGGCTAAGGGGGAGTGGGAGAGGGTGAAAGAAGGAGCCCCATTGGTCAAGGTGAGAGGTGGGAGGGGCTAAGGGGAGAAAGGGGAGGGGCCAATGGGGAGAGAGGGGAGGGGTTTTGGGGGGTGGGAGGGGTCAATGGGGAGAGAGGGGAGGGGCTAAGGGGGGAGTGGGAGAGGGTGAAAGGAGGAGCCCCATTGGTCAAGGTGAGAGGTGGGAGGGGCTAAGGGGGGAAAGGGGAGGGGCTAATGGGGAGAGAGGGGAGGGGCTAAGGGGGGGGGAAGAGGGAGCCCCATTGGTCAAGGTGAGCGGTGGGAGGGGCTAAGGGGGGAAAGGGGAGGGGCTAATGGGGAGAGAGGGGAGGGGTTATGGGGGGTAATGGGGAGGGAGGGGCTAAGGGGGAGTGGGAGAGGGTGAAAGAAGGAGCCCCATTGGTCAAGGTGAGAGGTGGGAGGGGCTAAAGGGGAAAGGGGAGGGGCCAATGGGGAGAGAGGGGAGGGGTTTTGGGGGGTGGGAGGGGTCAATGGGGAGAGAGGGGAGGGGCTAAGGGGGGAGTGGGAGAGGGTGAAAGGAGGAGCCCCATTGGTCAAGGTGAGAGGTGGGAGGGGCTAAGGGGGGTGGGAGGGGCCAATGGGGAGAGAGGGGAGGGGCTAAGAGGGGTAAGGGGGGGGAGAGGGAGGGGATGAAAGGAGGAGCCCCATTGGTCAAGGTGAGAGGTGGGAGGGGCTAAGGGGAGAGGGGAGGGGCTAAGGGGGAGTGGGAGGGGTTAAGGGGGGAGTGAGAGGGGTTAAGGGGAGGGGCTAAGAGGGGAGTGGGAGGGGCCAATGGGGAGAGAGGGGAGGGGCTAAGAGGGGGTGGGAGGGGCCAATGGGGAGAGAGGGGAGGGGTTATGGGGGGTGGGAGGGGTTAAGGGGGAAAAAGGGGAGGGGCCAATGGGGAAAGAGGGGAGGGGCTAAGGGGGAGTGGGAGGGGCTAAGGGGGAAAGGGGAGGGGCCAATTGGGAAAGAGGGGAGGGGCTAAAGGGGGAGTGGGAGGGGTTATGGCGGTGGGCGGGGGCAATGGGGAGTGAGGGGAGGGGCTTGAGGCTGGAGGGGAGGGGCCAGTGGGGTCATTTATGGGCCCATGGGGGTCACTTATGGGTCCATGTGATTACTTATGGGTCCGTGGGGTCACTTATGGGTCTGGCCCCCTAACTTGTGGGTCCGGCCCCATAACTTGCGGGTCCGTGGGTGTCACTTATGGGTCCATGGGGGTTACTTATGGGTCTGGCCCCATAACTTGTGGGTCCGGCCCCATAACTTGTGGGTCCTTGGGTTCACTTATGGGTCCATGGGGTCACTTGTGGGTCCATGGGGTTACCTATGGGTCTGGCCCCCTCACTTATGGGTCCATGGGGGTCACCTATGGGTCTGGTTCCCTCACTTATGGGTCCATGGGGGTTACTTATGGGTCTGGCCCCATAACTTGTGGGTCCGTGGGTGTCACTTACGGGTCCATGGGGTTACTTATGGGTCTGGTCCCCTCACTTTTGGGTCCGTGGGTGTCACTTATGGGTCCATGGGGTCACTTATGGGTCTGGCCCCATAACTTGTGGGTCTGGCCCCATAACTTGTGGGTCCGTGGGGGTCACTTATGGGTCCATGGGGTCACTTATGGGTCTGGCCCCATAACTTGTGGGTCTGGCCCCATAACTTGTGGGTCCGTGGGGGTCACTTATGGGTCCATGGGGTCACTTATGGGTCTGGCCCTGTAACTTGTGGGTCCGGCCCCATAACTTGTGGGTCCGTGGGGGTCACTTATGGGTCCATAGGGGTCACTTACGGGTCTGGTTCCATCACTTATGGGTCCATGGGGGTTACTTATGGGTCTGGTTCCATCACTTGTGGGTCCATGGGTGTCACGGGTCTATAGGGGTCACTTATGGGTCTGGTTCCATCACTTATGGGTCCATGGGGGTTACTTATGGGTCTGGTCCCCTCATTTTTGGGTCCGTGGGTGTCACTTATGGGTCCATGGGCTTACTTATGGGTCTGGCCCCCTCACTTATGGGTCCATGGGGGTCACCTATGGGTCTGGTTCCATCACTTATGGGTCCATGGGGGTTACTTATGGGTCCATAGGGGTCACTTATGGGTCTGGTTCCATCACTTATGGGTCCATGGGGGTCACTTATGGGTCCATGGGGGTCACTTATGGGTCCATAGGGGTCACTTATGGGTCTGGTTCCATCACTTATGGGTCCATGGGGTCACTTATGGGTCTGGCCCCCTCCCTTGTGGGTCCGTGGGGCTCATTTGTGGGTCCATCGGGGTCACTTATGGGTCTGTGGAGGTAGCTTATGGGTCTATGGGGGTCACTTATGGGTCCATAGGGGTCACTTATGGGTCTGGCTCCCTCACTTATGGGTCCATGGGGGTCACCTATGGGTCTGGCCCCCTCACTTGTGGGTCCGTGGGTGTCACTTATGGGTCTATGGGATTACTTATGGGTCTGGCCCCATAACTTGTGGGTCCGTGGGGCTCACTTGTGGGTCCATGGGGTTACCTATGGGTCTGGCCCCGTAACTTGTGGGTCCATGGGGGTCACCTATGGGTCTGGTTCCATCACTTGTGGGTCCATGGGGGTCACTTATGGGTCTGGCCCCATAACTTGTGGGTCCATGGGGTTACTTATGGGTCTGGCTCCCTCACTTATGGGTCCATGGGGGTCACCTATGGGTCTGGCCCCCTCACTTATGGGTCCATGGGGTTACTTATGGGTCTGGCCCCCTCACTTGTGGGTCCGTGGGGCTCACTTCTGGGTCCATGGGGGTTACTTATGGGTCCATGGGGGTCACTTATGGGTCTGGTTCCATCACTTATGGGTCCATGGGGGTCACCTATGGGTCTGGTTCCATCACTTATGGGTGCATGGGGGTTACTTATGGGTCTGGTTCCATCACTTATGGGTCCATGGGGGTCACTTATGGGTCTGGTTCCATCACTTATGGGTCCATGGGGTCTCTTATGGGTCTGGCCCCATGACTTGTGGGTCCGGCCCCATAACTTGTGGGTCCGTGGGGGTCACCTATGGGTCTGGCCCCCTCACTTATGGGTCCGTGGGGGTCACTTGTGGGTCCATGGGGTTACTTATGGGTCTGGCCCCCTCACTTATGGGTCCATGGGGTCACTTAGGGGTCCAGCCCCATAACTTGTGGGTCCATGGGGTCACTTATGGGTCTGGCCCCATAACTTGTGGGTCCGTGGGGGTCACTTATGGGTCCATGGGATTACTTATGGGTCTGGCCCCGTAACTTGTGGGTCCGGCCCCATAACTTGTGGGTCCGTGGGGCTCACTTATGGGTCCATAGGGGTCACTTACGGGTCTGGTTCCATCACTTATGGGTCCATGGGGGTCACCTATGGGTCTGGTTCCATCACTTATGGGTCCATGGAGTTACTTATGGGTCTGGCCCCATAACTTGTGGGTCCATGGGGTTACTTATGGGTCTGGCTCCTTCACTTATGGGTCCATGGGGTCACTTATGGGTCTGGCCCCATAACTTGTGGGTCCGTGGGGTCACTTATGGGTCTGGCCCCCTAACTTGTGGGTCCGGCCCCATAACTTGTGGGTCCGTGGGTGTCACTTATGGGTCCATGGGGGTTACTTACGGGTCTGGCCCCCTCACTTATGGGTCCATGGGGTCACTTAGGGGTCCAGCCCCATAACTTGTGGGTCCATGGGGTCACTTATGGGTCTGGCCCCCTAACTTGTGGGTCCGCCCCCCACGTGTGGGGCGCAGGAGAAGCCCAAGATGTTCGCCAAGGGCACGGAGATCACCCCGGCCGTGGTGCTCAAGAAGCTCAATGAGATCCTGCAGGCGCGGGGCAAGAAGGGAACCGACCGGTGAGGAGCTATGGGGCGGCTGTGGGGCGGCTGTGGGGCGGGGATGGGGGGGGATGGGGGGGGGATATGGGGCAGGGATGGGGGGGATATGGGGGGGGATATGGGGCA